AGGGCGGTTTCGGCGGTGGGAAGTGGGTGACTTATCGTTCGGAGGACTTTCGGAGTTGTCAACTTGGACGAGGCCGTAGGGGCTTTTGCGGTGGTCTGAGGAGGGCGGTCCCATTTGAGTTTTTTTAGGGGACCGGTAGGGGTATCCAGCGGGCCCGGAGCCGAAGGGCTGGGAGGCGTTTCTTATTTGGAAAAAACTTCGGGCGCGAATTTACGGCGCTGTAATTGCCCTGGAGGGCACTTTGCGAGGTAGTCGACTTCGGGAGCGGTTTGCGATGGGAGGAGGGGTGGGGAGGCGGAAGATTCGGCCCTGGGAGGGTAGGGGGGACCCTTGGGAAGGTATCTAGAGGTCGCGGAAGGATTTTGAAAAGCTGGCGTGGTGTAGCGGTGAGTTTGAAAAAAAAGTGTAACTTTTGATAGAGTGGTCGGAGGGAGCCGAAACTGTGCCAGGTTGTAGGGGAGGTCAAACTATTGAAAAATTTTGTGGACTTTTTTGCGATACACGGGCGCTAAGTGGGCGCGGGCGCAAGGTGGGGAAGGTAAGATGGAGGGCGAGGGCGGAGGGGACGGTCCCCGGACGCGGGAGTCTGCGGGAGGATCCTCTCGGTAGGACTCGTGCGCGAAATTCGGTAATCAGAGGTTTGTTGTCAGTTTTTAAGCGCAGATGATGGAACGTCGCGTTTAATTAATGATTTTCCAGGAAATTTGGCAACGCCGCACCAGATCGCCGATATCCCAGGAGCCCCTTCGAGGCTCCTCTCGTTAGGACGCGTGCGCAAAATTCGGTAATCGGACGTTTTTTGTCAGTTTTTAAGCGTAGATTATGCTAGGCAGCGTTTAATTAATGATATTCCAGGAAATTTGGCAACGCCGCACCAGATCGCCGATATCCCAGGAGCCCCTTCGAGGCTCCTCTCGTTAGGACGCGTGCGCGAAATTCGGTAATCGGACGTTTTTTGTCAGTTTTTAAGCGTAGATTATGCTAGGCAGCGTTTAATTAATGATATTCCAGGAAATTTGGCAACGCCGCACCCGATCGCCGACATCCCCGGAGTCCCTTCGAGGATCCTCCCGTTATGACTTGTACGCGAAACTCGGTAATCGGGGTTTATTTTGGGGTTCCGAAGGATACTCTGCAACAACGCAGCGTTTAATTACGCATTTTCCCCGAAATTTGGCAACGCCGCGCATAATTTGCGATTTTTCTGGAAATTTGGCAACGTCGAGGCTCCACTCGTTAGGGCGTGTGCGCGAAATTCGGTAATCGGGAGTTTAATTCAGTATGTTAGCGTAGATAATGGAACGCGGCGTTTTATCAGCGATTTTAGAGGAAAATTTGGCAACGCCGCATATAATCCGCGATCTCCCCGGGCTCGCGTCGAGGATCCTCTCGCTAGGACGCGTGCGCGAAATTCGGTAATCGGGGGTTTATTTCCAGTTCTTAAGCGTAGATTATGCAACGCAGCGTTTAAGCACGCATTTTCCAGTAAATTTGGCAACGCCGCGTTTAATTATTGATTTTCCAGGAAATTTGGCAACGCCGCACTCGATCGCCGACATCCCCGGACTCGCGTCGAGGATCCTCTCCTTAGGACTTGTGCGCGAAATTCGGTAATCGGGGGTTTATTTCCAGTTCTTAAGCGTAGATTATGCAACGCAGCGTTTAAGCACGCATTTTCCAGTAAATTTGGCAACGTCGCGTGCGAAAAGGGATTTTGCAGGAAATTCGGCAACGCCGCATTTGAACTCGGATTTCTCCGACTCTACATTTTAGGGGCATTCTAAAAAGCCCAAGTGCAGCCTCAGTTTGACAAACCGAGTTAGATAGGCTATTTTATAATACATATATACATATATATTTATTAGCCGACATCTATGATGTTGCCTATATTTTAGGGGCATTCTAAATAGAATAAGTGCAGCCTCAGTTTGACAAACCGAGGTAGATAGGCTATTTCGTAATAAATATATACATATATATTTTTGAGCCGACATGTAAGGTGTTGCCTATATTTTAGGGGCATTCTAAAAAGCCTAAATGCAGCCTCAGTTTGACAAACCGAGGTACTTAGGCTATTTTATAGTAAATATATACATATATATTTATTAGCCGACATCATGGATTTTGCCTATATTTTAGGGGCATTCTAAAAAGCCTAAATGCAGCCTCAGTTTGACAAACCAAGGTAGATAGGCTATTTTATAATATATATATACATACATATTTATAAGCCGACATCTAAGATGTTGCCTATATTTAAGGGGCATTCTAAATAGAATAAGTGCAGCCTCAGTTTGAGAAACCGAGGTAGTTAGGCTATTTTATAATAAATCTATGCATATATATTTATTAGCCGACATCTAAGATGTTGCCTATATTTTAGGGGCACTTAAAAAGCATAAATGCAGCCTCAGTTTGACAAACCGAGGTAGTTAGGCTTTTTTATAATAAATATATACATATATATTTATAAGCCGACATCATGGATGTTGCCTATATTTTAGGGGCATTTAAAAAAGCCTAAGTGCAGCCTCAGTTTGACAAACCGAGGTAGTTAGGCTATATTTAATAAATATATACATATATATTTATTAGCCGACTTCATGGATGTTGCCTATATTTTAGTGGCATTCTAAGAAGCCTAAATGCAGCTTCAGTTTGACAAACCGAGGTAGTTAGGCTATTTTATAATAAATATATACATATATATTTATTAGCCGACATCATGGATGTTGCCTATATTTTAGGGGCATTCTAAAAAGCCTAAATGCAGCCTCAGTTTGACAAACCGAGGTAGATAAGCTATTTTATAATAAATATATACATATATATTTATTAGCCGACATCATGGATGTTGCCTATATTTTAGGGGCATTCTAAATAGAATAAGTGCAGCCTCAGTTTGACAAACCGAGGTAGATAAGCTATTTTATAATATATATATACATATATATTTATGAGCCGACATCATGGATGTTGCCTATATTTTAGGGGCATTTGAAAAAGCCTAAATGCAGCCTCAGTTTGACAAACCGAGATAGTTAGGGTATATTTAATAAATATATACATATATATTTATTAGCCGACATCATGGATATTGCCTATATTTTAGGGGAATTCTAAAAAGCCTAAATGCAGCCTCAGTTTGACAAACCGAGGTAGATAAGCTATTTTATAATAAATATATACATATATATTTATTAGCCGACATCTAAGATGTTGCCTATATTTTAGGGGCACTTAAAAAGCATAAATGCAGCCTCAGTTTGACAAACCGAGGTAGTTAGGCTATTTTATAATAAGTATATACATATATAGTTTTTAAGCCGACATCTAAGATGTTGCCTATATTTTAGGGGCACTTAAAAAGCCTAAGTGCAGCCTCAGTTTGACAAACCGAGGTAGTTAGGCTATATTTAATAAATATATACATATATATTTATTAGCCGACATCATGGATGTTGCCTATATTTTAGGGGCATTCTAAGAAGCCTAAATGCAGCCTCAGTTTGACAAACCGAGGTAGATAAGCTATTTTATAATAAATATATACATATATATTTATTAGCCGACATCTAAGATGTTGCCTATATTTTAGGGGCACTTGAAAAAGCCTAAGTGCAGCCTGAGTTTGACAAACCGAGGTAGTTAGGCTATATTTAATAAATATATACATATATATTTATTAGCCGACATCATGGATGTTGCCTATATTTTAGGGGCATTCTAAGAAGCCTAAATGCAGCCTCAGTTTGACAAACCGAGGTACTTAGGCTATTTTATAATAAATATATACATATATATTTATAAGCCGACATCATGGATGTTGCCTATATTTTAAGGGCATTCTAAAAAGCCTAAATGCAGCCTCAGTTTGACAAACCGAGGTAGATAAGCTATTTTATAATAAATATATACATATATATTTATTAGCCGACATTATGGATGTTGCCTTTATTTTAGGGGCATTCTAAATAGAATAAGTGCAGCCTCAGTTTGACAAACCAAGGTAGATAAGCTATTTTATAATATATATATACATATATATTTATGAGCCGACATCATGGATGTTGCCTATATTTTAGGGGCACTTAAAA